GAGGCAGGTACTCTAACCAGTATGCTACAGGCGCACTCGCCAGGATCCCAGGTTCGATTTCCATGCAAAACCTTAGATAAGTTTCCTTACTCCACGCGCCTCTGTTTATCTAACAATAAGTAGGGACCTCGTTGTTAGTTGATTGGCAAACTGCTTTCCAGGTGTAATAAACAATCCCTTTTAAAAAAAATTGTTTACTCAATCCACGACTGTTTGTATGCAATTGACTGCCGCGTTTCACCCACAAAATACAGTCAATTCGCTTTACAGTATATTCTGTGAGGTGTTTTAATGCATCTCAATTGCGCGATAAGGCGCTATATCAAATACAAGGATTATGATTTTATTACAATCGAACCGCTTCAAGTGGAATTCATCTTGTTTACAACTGGAGGACAGGCTCCATAGAACAACCAGTGTTATTTCCAATTTTCAGTTGTCTTTCAACTTTAATTTCTGGCCATCGTGTCTTAGCAGGTGTCTATGGATGCTGAGAAATTGCCTATTCGAGTGGATCTCAGCATCTCCCGATACAATCGTGCTTTATCTGGTTGGGAACAGTACTGTAGATTATAGGAATAGGTTCAGTTGTGATGAATAAGTGGTACAATAGTCTTTGACCTGCTGTAGAGAAGAGATTGTGTGAAGGGAAGAAATATTCAGTCTTTGCCTCACCAAGTTTTGGGTTTGGGGATGATCTGCAGAACATTTACCCCCAGGAGGTAAAGAGTGGTAAAATGCACTATTGGGCAAGCTTTGTGTCATCTGGAAGTTAATGGATTGAATGGGTTTTTGTATCCCATCCTTTTTTTAATGCTAAGGTAAACTGATCCATAGGGACTCTTATACGGACTGTTCTTTGCATGGCTGAGGTTTGAATTCTGTGAAATACTGACACTTGTACTGGCCTAAAGATGGTGTTGGCTGCTAAATGTGAGTTTGATATTCAAGAATGCTGTAGAGCTGAGGTTGGCAATAGTGATTTTTCCCCCCCATTGTGTGCATACACTGTTTTCTCTTGTGTGTCTCGCACAGCATGGCTATTTCAGCTTTTCAATCTTAGTTAATTTGGATTGTAGCGGTGATGCATTTGTACTATCAGTAAACCCTCAAGCAAGATCGGTTATTTTTATTGGATTTACAGGATCAAATGGTCCGATGAAGAAAGCTCTTTGGCATTCTTGATCTCAACTTTCCCTACTGTCTAATTGAGCATCTTCTGTCAATAAATATTCTCTGATTTTTGTCGTCTTCACAAACACCGAACCTGTGCTCTTCTTGTCCGGCAGCAGCAGCTTTCTGCATTGGGTTTCAGGAATGAAACCTTTATTAACCCAGTCACTATAAAGAGAGATGTACAGTTAGAGCTTCCCTTCCTGACGCTGTAGTTAATGATCGGCCTGATTTAGTGCTGAGTCATATAGACCAGGTGAGTGTCTGGATTCCCAGCTTACGGTGTTAGCTGATCTCAGTCAGGGTGACAGTACAAATGTCCTTTGTGTCACTCCAAAATAGGCGGCTTCCATTTCTGAATGCTTGCTTACTGAAAGCTGCCTGAGAGGGAGTGAAAAACCTGTGTTGCATTTTCTACTGAACTGTCCAGACTCGAAAGTGAAGAACAATTACATGGGTTGAGAGGCTCATGCAAGCATGCAACTGCGAAAGCCGAGCCATAAGATGTGAAAGGCGGCGGAAAGGAAGAATGAAATTCAAATTTCGGATCAGATTAATGTGGTTCATTTCCTAATTTGACATTTTATGAGTGTGTGTTTGGAAGTTTCTTTAGGCTGTCTGAATTGATTTCAAAAATACCTTTTAATCTCTTTGTTCTGCACAACCCTCTGTAAATATAAACCTCACCCGAAGCGACTTTCTACTTATTTTAATATTGTTCGTTGAATCGATTTGAACTCTTGTGCCAAGACTGCCTGTTCCCTTTGAACAAGGTTGTTAGTTAAAAGTAGTGTTTTTTTTAAATATTCATGGAAGCCTTCAGCATTATTAATAGCCCACAAATCCAGGAGGACCCACATAATTGAGACCCGATAGAATTGCAGCATTCTGGACTCAACTGCGATTTTTAATTTGTGTTCTACCTGAGCTTTTTCACCTTTTTTTAAATAAATTTTCTAAAATCAGTTTCTCTCGGCAGCTTCTGCTCAGAAGCAGCTTAATAGGCGGTTGTCCCAAATTCCTGTCCACGCCAGGACAGCTCATTTGCAAGGCCCAGCTACACGGCTGATTATCACAAAGACTGATTTTAAAATTTGCCTCAGACTTGGAGCTCTCCAGGTATCTGTGACTGGGATATTCCTCCCCCCCCCCCATAGCTTTTTTATTATGGGAGAGAATTTGGGAATGAACGACCATGTTTTGTAATAAAAGATTATATGGGGAAAAGATCCTGAAAGACTTGATTTTATTCTATTTTCTTCCCCACCCATCACCCACGCTCTTTGTTTTTTTTTACTATTTTCTTTCACATTCCTCGAGGGTAGGTCTGGCTGGAGCGAAGTGTCTGTGACACTGCTCTCTATTTTACACTTGCCTTGTGAAAGCTGTCATTTTCTTTGCTCTTGTTCTGCACGGAAGCCGGCTCAGCCTGCTCGCTTAGCCTCCATTCCATTCCCCAGAGTTGCTTGATAACTATTGCAAGTTGTCAGGGTCAGGGTTTGGAGCTTCTTTTTTCTTGTTCTTACTATCTCGCCAGTCAAAGAGGTAAGATTGGGTAAACATAGGTTGAGTGAGGAGGCTCTTGATGGTATGGAGCTTTTTTATTGAAGCCTATGCTGTTGTCTGGATTGGCCCTGCCCAATTGTCTTACACTTTGACAAGAGAGGAAGAGGTACCAGCAGTCCACATGGTCCACCTGGCTTGTTGAGCAGACCAGACACGTACTGTCTGGGGGTCAGGAGGCAGAGAAGGGGAAAGAGGGACAGTTGTACATTCTCTGTTCATATTCAATATTCTACTTTGCAGTTAGACATCAGTAAGTATAGGCAGGTTTGAGCGTAAATAAGTTTCTCCTTGCTGGAGCATTTTATTATTTTTGCTCAGATTAAATGTACCTTTGACACCTTCTTTCGAATGCAGAGATTCAAATATTTTGCACAGCATGTTGTGGCCTTTTTCTTGAAGGGAATGTTGATTTGTTTGATATCCTCCACCTCTCAGAGTATGTCTTTAGCCTCACTCACTCGCGCTCAAATGCATGCATGCACACGCTCGCTCGCAAGATCGGACAGATAATAATAATAATCCTTGCATTTGATATTGTGGGGTCCTGTAGCTCAGTTTCGGCTTCTATTTTATTAAGCTTAATAATAATCCTTGCGTCAGGAGGACATCCCAAAGCGCTTTACAGAACACACTGTAAAGTGAATTGACTGTATATTTGTGGGCGAACGCGGCAGCCAATTGCGCACAGCAATGTCCCACAAACAGTCGTAGATTGAAAATGACCAATTTTATTATTGTTTTTTTTTTGTTTTTTTTGGAGGGATTATTATTAGGCTCTGTGTGGAGTAAGGAAACTTGCCCAAGGTTTCACCCTCTGCCTGGAATTGAACTCAGGTCTCTCGCTTGCAAAGCGAGTGCTCTAACCACTGAGCTACAGGACTCCACAAGCTTGTTGTCTACCTTAGCAATTCGTTCTCTGGTTCATCTGCCTCAGCAGACGCACTTAAAATTTTGAGGAGTTTACTGACAGATAATTCATTTGAAGACTTCAAATTTGGAACAGCAGACTTGACGGATCAAAATGCAGTACCTTTATTTTATTTCTCTGCCATGCATTCTTTAATCACTTTTGTGCTTCCAAAGAAGAATTCATGTAGAAGTTGGACTTTGGGCAAGAAATTTTGCTTCACAAATGATTGTGGAGTCCTGTAGCTCAGTGGTTAGAGCACTCGCTTTGCAAGTGAGAGACCTGAGTTCAATTCCAGACAGGGCGAAACCTTGGGCAAGTTTCCTTACTCCACATGCCTAATAATAATCCCTCCAAAAAACAATAATAAATTGGTCATTTTCAATCCATGACTGTTTGTGGGACATTGCTGTGTTCAATTGGCTGCCGCGTTCGCCCACAAATATACAGTCAATTCACTTTACAGTATATTCTGAAGCGCTTTGGGACGTCTAGAAGATGTGAAAAGCGCTATATCAAATGCAAGGATTATTATTATTATTGTTGCATATCAGATGATAACAATAATAATAGTCCTTGCATTTGGTATAACACTTTTCACATCAGGAAAACTTCACAGGATATATTGTAAAGTGTTGGCGAACACAGCTGTCTATTCGTGTACAGCAATACACCACACACGGTCATGAAGCGAATGGCCATTTGTATTTGGGGGATTGTTGGCCATCACATTGGGAGAAAGTCCATACTCTTTGAATAGTGTCATGGGATCTTTAACGTCCACCTGGGAACTTAGTTTAACATCTCAATCAAAAGAGTTATCTCAACGTGGCACACGCCTAGCAAGATATTAGAGTTTTTGCCTAAACTGAGTTCAAACTCCCTACATGGGACTTGGACCCACAACCGTCTGACTCGGAGGAGAGAGTGCTACCAACTAACTGAGAGAGGCTGACACACATAGTTGAATACTGTGTAAACATTAACTCACCAGCAAATGATCCAATTGAATCTGTTTCCAGGGCAGTCCTAAACCAGGAGGGATAATTATATTTTCACAGGTGGATAATTTTACAAACTGAAACTGTTTCAAAGGTCTTGTCAGTTTATCTTCCATGGGCATGTCTTCCTGAAGAGAGTCGAGATTTCACTATAAATTGGGGAGACTCCTGGTAATCTGACAATATATAGGTGGGGAAAAAACATTGCTATTTTCCTTTCATTTAAGAAAGTTATAGAGGAAGAGTGTTTGGATTAGTTGCTGATGGACACTTGTATCCTAAGCAGGAATTGTCATTATCTCTTTATTACTTTCGTGAAATAATTTTGTGCTTTGCCTCTTTTCTGTGTTTAGCTATCCAGAGAATGGAATAGTGGAAATGCATGCAGAAAATGTTCGTCCACGGGCAAGGACCATTTTGAAGTGGGATCAGCTACAAATGGGACAAGTGGTGATGGTGAACTACAATTTAGAGATACCAGAAGAACGCGGCTTCTGGTTTGACGCAGAAGTTTCTGCTATGAAGGAAACGTCAAGGACAAATAAAGAAATCTTTGTTAAAATCCTCTTGGGGTAAGCATCCGTTGGCATATAATGAATGCATATTTGAAGCAGCGACACTTTAATACAGTCTGAAGTTGTAGCAAGGAGGATGTCTGTTTCGGTACGATTACATTGAACATGTAATGTCTTAATGGCACAAAAGTTCATCTTGCTGTCTGAAAATACATTGGGTTATTTTGGTCATCAGGCATATCTAACACATGAGATTACTGTGCTTAAGACTCTACAAACCAAACTGCTGGGAGTTCCACTTGTAAATATATATGGTTTGGAGATTTTATTCAGAATGTGTATTCCAGCTCCAAGGTCCACGTAAGGCTTGACGGGGACTCACCAGGGATATGGGATCAAAGGTGGCATATCTGTTCCAGGCATTCCTGATAGAATTGCAGCACTTCTGTTAGCCGTTGATATTGTGCTGTTGGCTGGCTCAGCTGGGGATCTTGTGTGCTGCGCTCGCTGTGTTGAACCCTGGACCCTAGTGGAACATCATGGTAGATGCCCTGAAGTTGGCAGTTATGGCCCTGCACAGCTTCAGAAGGAGGCCTCAAAGGTATTAACTGAAAGATACAAAGGGCATCAGTTCCAATTGTTGATTGATATAGGTGGTAAAATTGTTATGGCCACCAACTTTTGCTTGGACACTGTCCTACTCTGCCATAAAGAGGCAGAGAGCACTCTGATGGTTCTTGTCTCTCTTCATTGACAGCAATGTCAAGTGTGTGGCATATAAGACCTGTGTCCAACCAGTTCTATTTCATGGTTTGAGCTCCGAGGTGTACACAATGGAGGGGTTTCCTTCAGCCCATTTGAAAGTCCAGGACCAATCAGTGAAGTTGATTTGTATTAAAAGGGGAAATGGCGATGGGTAGTGCTGGAGTTTAACCAGCTAAATGGAATGAGAACTCAGATTGAGGAATTTTGGCCATGTTTAGGCAGGCCATGTTTACATGTCTAGTAGGTTTGAATTACTGTACTTTGTAAATATGTTGAAATGAACTAGACTTCAAAAAAAAAGTTAGCCACGTTATCGGGGTATCCTTAAGGTGAGTTTCCACTGTTTCCACTGTGCTGCTAATACATTCTGTGATGTTGTGAACATGTCAATGATGCAAGGTTTGTTTTGGTGGGTGGGTTATTTTTGGGTGGTGTTTGGGTGATTTAAGGAATGATGGTCCAAAAATAAATCCTGGCTGATTTATAGCTGTTGACCGAATATGTTCAGGAGTTTGCGAGTAAATCTGTTCGACTGAAGTCTTACGGATCCCAAAGATAGAAAAATAAGTCCAAGATGTGCCAGAGCCATTACAGCTCTTACAGGACTTATGAACGGACGCTGGTTTAGAAATGTTAACTAACACTATGTGTGGTGTGTTGAAGTGCAGCATTTGACATTGATGGGCCTCAGCATGTTTCTGCTTACACTTGTATTTTTGGTGGTATGGCTCTGGTTTCCATCAGTTATATTTTTGGCTAAATGTTTCCCCTCCACTTGCTATGACCCAGTATCAATCTTCGGATGAAATGTTAAACCAAGGTGCCTGTGTCTGCCCATTCAGGTGAATGTTACACAGTCACTACACTTTACAGTAAATCCTGTGAAAATGCTATTCTAATTACAAAGATTATTATTGGAGTAATGGTTGATGTTGTGCAAAACAAGTGGAAGTAAGAGTAGTAAAACGATAGAGAAACCAGATCTGAACAAAAGGGAATTTAGAGCTGGATAAATCTCTTCACAAGACTCCCTCAATTGAAAAATAAATGTTAAACGCCAAACTTGTTTCCATCTCTACCTACTTCTTCAATAGTTAAAACCAGTCTGCTACAGTATTTATTGTCTAGAGAGAATTGATTCACTCTGCACATAATAATAATAATAATCCTTGCATTTGATACAGTGCCTTATCACATCATTAAGGCATCTCAAAGCGCTTCACAGAATATTCTGTAAAGTGAATTGACTGTATATATTGTGGGCGAAACGGACACCTAAACGTGATACGTCTATCTTTGTTCTGTATAGTCCAGTGCTTTTCCCGAACAGATGGGGCATGTCTATTCTTTATGGTGTTAATCAGTGCAGCATCAGTTACTTACGTTATCTTGTTCCATATCTGTACTGCTCTGAGTAGAAATCTTCTAAATAAACAAAGATACAGAAACTGCAGGGAAACTAGATTAATTACAGAGAGCAAAATTTTAAACTCTTTTTAAAAAAAGATTTTATCTTCCATTTTTTAGTATCTTTCTTTCGCTTGTTGAAGCAGCCCAATAAATGTGCTGTGGTTTTATTTTTTATTCCCCTCTCCCTTTCCAGGCAGAATCGTGTTGGTTTTAAGCAGTTTTTTTTCCCAGGAACAGTAGGTGGAAGTTTTGATTCTGTGCAAAGATCAGAGAAATAGCAGTGCCTGCCTGTTCACACTGTCACACAATTTAATAATAATCCTTATTTGGTAAAACGTCTTGCACGTTAGGAGGAGGTCCCAGAATCTTCACAGGATATATTGTAAAGTGACCTGATTGTGTTTCATGGGAGAATCATTCTGTACCTGAAGCTAAGCTAAAGGACAGATTGAAGCTGAAACCACATACTCCAGATAAAATATGTTTTTGGTGGAGAAAGAAAGAAAATAACAGCAATTAACATTTATTTTAAAAGCATTTTTTTAAAAATCCACAATGTTTGTGAAGGTTTTTGAATCACATTGACATTGCCCCATAATATAATGAAAAAAATTGCATTTGAGCTAGCTATTCGGAGTAGTTTCCATTCCCTATGAATTTTGTTTCCCTCTTTAACCTCTTTCCCAACTCCTCTCTTCCCCCCCAAAAAAGACCTATCTGCATGTAGTGTCGTTCACCTTGCTGGGAATGGTGCAGTGAAAATAAATGAATTGAATTGACAATGATGTTAAGGCAACAGAAAAGCATTGAGTAATTTTGTATTTGCACTGTATCAATTTGCCCTTCTTAATCTGACTGAAAATTCACGGCCCTCAGTCTGTATGTTTCCTTGATGACCTTAAAGCATTTTTTGCCGTAACCATAGTGACTACCAATTTTGATTAGCCTACTCAAGTGTACTAGTCTGCAAATAGGAAACACTGTGTGTGTCTTGTAGGGTTCGAATATGGAGCACTAAACACATCTGATTGAAAATGTAAATGGAGTTGGTCCTATTTACAATCAGCGTCAGAACTGATATTTTAAGTTGCTCGGCTCTGCTCCCTGATGGAATTGGTGGTTGTACACAAGTGTGGAAAGGGGAGGAATGATTTCTTTTAATATTAAGAACATTTGGCTCCGGCCTTCTCCAAGCCCTCGTCCCCTCCACTCCACCATCGCAGCTGTGGTTTGTCACTGTGCTCCGAGACTCTGGAACTCTCTGCCTTGATCCCTCTGCTTTGTCAAGTCTTCAGATCGCATCTTGGACTGTGCCTATGGTCATCTCACCTCTCCCCAGTGTCAAGCTCTGCCTGTTAAACTAAGACACTCCCCATGTGTAGGGCGCCATACAAATGCTAGTTGATATATTGTGGCAATCTGCGAACATTCAGATGATAATCCAGTTGCTTGAAAATCAATGACCATTTTAACCAAATCTCACAATCATCTTCCTTACCTTCCTTACCTTTAGACACAAGACTTTCTTTTAAAAAGTCTATAGTTTTAACCCCTTAGAGATAAAATCCTAAATGATTTACATTTATAGTGCTGGGTTTGCCGAGTGCAGATCAGTAATACAATCCGAGGAGGCCCTAACCTTGGAAATTCTCTCCTCTATTGGTCTTTAAATCTTGCCTGAAAGTCTACCTCTTCAATCACGCCTACTCTTCAATTTCTCCCTTGCTCGGAATCCAATCCCATCCAAGTATAGCCCAGTTATCCCACATGAAGAATGCTCCATAAATGCAAGTTGTGGTTGTGCTTCTGAATCGTGTAGGATTAAGATAAAATCTACAGATCACAATAACACAAGTGAGGAGTTATTTTTATCCTGTTTTTAAAAAAAACACACAGCTGTGGGAAGTTCCCCTTTAAATTACAGTTTCTGCATCTGTATATAACTGAATTCATGTGTATATTTGCCAGAGCTACGTCTCATCACAATGTTCATGGGGTAACACTTTGCTCTTAGCTTATGTTAAATTTTTCTCTCTTCCCTCTTTTCCTATTTATTTTTCTTGCATAATCACTGTGCAGCAGTGCGGAGCAGAGTGGGGTAGCCCGTGTCTTCTCTGTGATAGCAGATAGTGCAGCTCTGTTCTTGCCGCAACTCATGACTAAACCCATATTATTTTTATTCCCATGTGTTAAAAACAAGGAGCCTTGCATAACAGGCTGAAATAAATCTGCAAAAATTACTGTGAAAATCATACATGAAATCTGGTCTGCCGTGTGCACCCATCTTTCTCATTAATTAAACTGATGTGCTGCATGTTGTCAAAATGCTTCTTTGTTAATTTTGAACAAATTAGAGGATTTTAAACCAGCAACAGCATAAAGAACCATTACATTCATAAGTTCAGTGCACCAATTGTATATTTTTTTAAAAAAAGAAATAGGCCTTTTATACTTCCTGTCATGTATCGGTAAAATAACTATGAAATGACATTATTTCATTCGTCTGGTTGCTGCCATTTTATAGAATAATGAGGGGAAAATTTTCAGTTATTTGTCACAAAATATTACTGCTGTGTTTGTTAAGCTCCGGTCAAGCCTATAGGCTACGGCGAGACTTCTGTGAAAACTGGTTCATACAAGAAGAAATTTATGCTTAGACGTTCAGGCTGGCAGAGAAACCTACCTTGTGACTGCCGCTCTGGAACAACCATTATTGTGCCATAATATCCGTGTAATAAAAAAACTTGGACACCAATTTATCTACAAGGTGGAGTGCTAGGTAATCAGTGCTGTGCAGAGTCTGGGGTTGGAACTCGTGTGCTTAACTTATCAGCAGGATAAAAATGTTTTTTAAAACGTCAGTGGCGTTTCTATGATCGCTA